GTAAATCACGTGATTGTTAATTTCTACAAATGTAAAATACTAATACAAACCTACGACATTCTCTGAAGGCTTAAAAACATTAACCACCAGAAAAACTGACAATTGTTACAATTTTCCAAAACGATTTATTACTGCAGCTTCAAAGCAACAAATATTTGTGTTGATGTTTCTTTTTATTAATTTTCAAAAAAGATTATATATCGGAATCTTTTAATAATTGAAAATGGTATACTTAATCGACTTATTGAACCTAAAGAATTTTTATAAATCAACACTCAACACACTGATGAAAAGAAATAATTAAAAGCGGGCCTTTTAATCCAATAAAATCTTGTCACAGCGGATAAACGGGGCACATAAAAAATTTTATTCAAAATACGTTGTGACAAGAATTTAATTATAGTCCATTTGACTGCAATTGTATAATTGCACTTTTTTGTTTGAATATTTGAAGAATCAACAACATTGGACAATTTTTAAATTATCATCATCACCACCACCAACATCACAAACAAGGTTTCTTTTCTCTTGCTTCTACTTTTACTAAAATGGAAACACGATTACTTGTGTTTTGGAATTATTATAAGCAGACGGTCATTTTCTTGATTTGGCATCCATTTTTCTCTCCAATTAAGCAATTAATTAATTCTACATCCTATAAAAATCAAATAACAATCCAGATATTTTGGCTTAACACAAACCTAAAATGAAATGGTGCCTAAAAAAATTTATATACAACAAAATAGAACTGGCATCTAATAATAACTTTCAATTAAAAACAAGTCCTAATTTTTGCTACATAATGAATTCTTTACTGTAATTCTTTTTGGGGGTGACTTCTACCACATTACAATGAACTTTTAATCCATTTTTTATAATTTATAAGTAACCTCAATATAGTAGCCAATTTTTCACAGTATTTATCTATTTTGACTTTTTCCGTGATACCTAAATTCGGAAGTATAATTTCCAAAAAAAAATTTTGCCCCCAGAAAAACTTAATAATAACTCTACATAAGCCGTGGATAAAAATAAATAAACCTACTAAAGGATCGAATAGTGATGCAGATGTAAATTATTTGATTAATATAGACATTGACCATAACGTCTTAAAGATATCTTTAAAAAAATATAATTGATTTTGAAATTTAACCCGAAAGCTTCTCTTGATAATATAGAATCACTACTATGGGTCTGATTCATTTCGCCGAGAATCTTTTCGTCGACAGTCATTTCGTCGACACCCATTTCATCGAAAGTTCATTTCGTCGAAAATTTGTTTCGTCACAAAAAAAAACTTCATTAAACAAATTTCTCTTCACACTTCCCACACACCCCGCTTTCTTCACTTAATTTCTTAACTTCCCACACTCCTTACATCTAACTCGTTCGGTCTCTGGCTCGAGGATGAAATAATCTTTGACGAAACAAACATTCGACGAAATGAACTTTCGATGAAACAAACTTTCGACGAAATGGGTGTCGACGAAATGGGTGTCGACGAAATGGGTGTCGACGAAATGATTGTCGACGAAATAATTTTCGACGAAGTAAAACGCGACCGAAATTCTTTGACTTGGTGACGTTGCACGTAATTATCACTACAAATTTTGAAAGATACAACTTTTGATCATCTGACTGATTTTAAGATTTTTAGGAAAATGAAAGATTGAGAGGAAAAAATTGTAATATGCATTGACAGAGTTACATACAAGGAAAAAAGAAATGATAACGCTGATGTTAATAATGTTGGTAATAGAAATCAATTAAGTAACAAAATAATTAATGATTACTATAATATATATTGATGGTAGGTCGCAATTTAAATTCCATGTTGGTAGTTTGTATTGTAAATCATTAACATACAATGAACCTTTGCTTGTTACATGTTAATTCAAAATTGCTTTTTCACAACATGATCCGTTTCTGTTGTCCACGCCCATTATGTGTGTGATATTTTTTATAAATATGTTTGAAATATTATTGTTTAAAAGATTAATTGTTATATGAGTCATGGAGCTGGATGACGATTTATTAATGGACGCAACATTAAACAATTACATAATTGTGCTGTATCTACTATAGTGATGGGTTGCGATAGCACCAAGAAGATGTTCCTCATTAGATTACATGTTAGTTGGTAGTTTTTTTAAATTTACTATATTTCTTATCATCATTTTAATTTTGTATTTTATGTTAATATGTATTGAAAAATAGTCCAGCATTCGTTGGAAATTTGTGGCAGTATATGAAAAGACCCGGGAGGAGACATTGAAGCAATATTTCAAAAATGAGGTTTGACACAAGAAAAATCAATGACAATAATGTGTCATTGGGATTAGATGAAGCAATTTTACTTGCAAGAAAAAAATGCAAGTTAAAAGATCTGATTGGGTGGCATCTATTATTTATGGTATCTCTTGCTGCTACTATCAAAAATAGTTGAGTCATTCTACAATTTAGGATGCTCAGATGAAAATAACTACAAGTCGCATGATCATGGATAATTATATTTGCTTATGTATTGATTGTTTTTCTATACGTACTAAATCGAACATTATACCCAAAACTTTCGAATATCCGAATATGGAACGCTCACTACCTTTTTTATTGTCCAGGCCCCATATTATATGGTTTGATTAATTAACTAATCTTTACAATTTTATTTTTGTATTATATATAATTTTAAAATTTTTATTATTAAACTTTTATAACAACAATAATATGAATTTTTTTTTTATACTAAGGAAAGATTGTAAAAATGAATTAATTAATGTATATTATTATTATTTTTCACTAAATATAATCCAGATACCAGTAAATCCGGAAACCTTTTGAATTTCTTCTATTTGCTTGTTTTGTTTTAGATATTTGTTTCTAAACAAGCAAACAAACAAACAAACAAACACGAAGAATTATTCAAAAAAACAAAATGATCTTCATTCATCTATTTATTAGAATCGCCTACTTATTATCCTCAAAAATATCATAAAATGAAGGTTAGTGTCAAATATTTTTTTTCCTTCAACAATGTTAACAATATATGTATATTAATTCGTTATCTTTTTTTCTTTTTATGTACTATAATTTTACTTTGGCGTTGTTTTTTTTAGTTGGAGCATGCGATGCAATTTTATTTAGCTTCCGCTCGTGGACCCTGTATACAAGAATATGCTCAAAAGTTACAAATTGAATGCCAAAATATTTGGGAACGCGGTAGACAAAAATGTGAAAAAAAGAGTCTTTCTGGACATGAATGCGTATTAGGAGTATGTGTTATAATCTATTAGAAATATGCCTTTTTTTTTTTTGTTAATTAATATCTACACAATTGTATTTGTAGGCAAATCATTATGTTGATAGTGATAAAAAACATAGAAGTGCATTTCAGGCTTTACAAGCTTGTAATTGTGGTAGAAGTAGAAGAGATAGAGAAGATCCTTTTGATTTATTGGTAAATGATTTTGATTTATTAATTTTTTATTTCATCATAAATATTAATATTATAATGATATAATTTTTAGAAAGCAAATAAATTATTTTTTGAATTTCCTGGATGTTGTAAATCAAATGGGAATGGTTGCTTCATACTACCTCAAGTAACTAACTCCACCATCATTTCTTCTATGTGGTCAATTATTCGTTTAGGATCAGGATCAATGTACAAACCAAGCGCTGGACTTGATAATTGGGATGGATTTGTTACAAATGCAAATTTTCTTTTGCCATTCGACATTCCTCTAATTGTCAATCGACCTCAATTTGTACAAGAGGAATTGTTTAGGATCAAGGATGCTAATGGATGGTCAATGAATGTTGCAGGATGTGATTGGGCCAAGTTAAAAAAAATTAAGAATAAAGAAGAAAAGTTGGTTAATCCTACTACAAGAAAAGGGCTTAAATATAAAATGAAATCAGACGAGGTTAAGATTGATGGTGGGTCAATTTGGTCAGCTTTTAATAATAATAATGAAAGTATGCCTGTTCATTATAAATCATTAGGAGAATTCTTTTTCTTTTTTTAAATACTATAATAGTTTAATAAAAAATATTATTGTTATTATAGATCTACCAAAATGGACTTCCACATCATCATCGTCATCAATATTTAACCTGAATGATTGTCTAAAGTTTGTTCGTTATGCACAACTTAACTCAATCGAATTTGTTGAGAATCAGCCGACCAACACTGCCGCCACCACATCTGATAGTAAGGAGAAACGTGCTGCTAAACGTGCTGCTAAAATTAATCAAAAGAAGGAACGTGATAAACCATCACCATTATCATTAACTCAAAAAGAAATAACAGCACCAGTAGCTTCAAGTTCTTCCTCTTCGTTAAAAGGTGATAATTTAGCTTTAAAAGGTTATGTTGGCATAGAGTATGAGTGCCCTCTTGGTCATAGATTTATGAGTTGTGGAGATCGACAAATTTATAAATTAGGTCACTCTAGTCATATTAAGGTATTGCTATAATGATAATAACGATAATGATATTTTTTAATTTATTAATTTAATTATTTTTTAAAGGAACCCGCACATAGTATTTTGGAACAAGATCTACCAATATATATTGCTTGTATTTGTAGTAGTAGCGTTAATAATAATAATAGTAGTAGTAGTACCATTAATGGTTCAAATAATTCCAATTACAATAATAATTCGAATAAAACCATCATGGCTCAATTACAGCGTGTAATTATTGTCACACCTGATTCTTCTTTATCACTTACTTTAAAGCCCATGATTAAGGTAAAAAAAATTTTTTCTTTATTAAATATATGATATAAATAATTTTTAATTAAAAAATTTTTTTGATAAATATACATATATATATAAAAAAGAGCACTTTAAATAAGCAAGAAGTAGTATCACCATTATTTGATAAAAATGAATATGAGCAATCATTCAAAGGAATATTATTACCAAAAAATAGTTTAATAGTATTACGTTTACCGTATCCTTTTAATATTAAAAAGTGTATACATATATTTATATTAAATATTAACTTTAAATGTCATCTTTAACTCTTTTGATAATTTATTAACAACAATAATAGTTATATTCATTATAATCAATCAGGTGAACCAATTTATAAAGAACAAGTTATTATTAGTAGTAACAGCAACAACATCAACAATTCATCTTTGACAAATTTATATTTAGAAAAAGGATTTCTTTTTGTTGATTTGCCAAATCCAAATTTATTATCAGGTAAAGATGAAACATCAAGTATTACATAAAATAAAGTTCACACCAAAATCAACGACATCAACATCATCACAATCTTAAAAGAATGCAGTGCATCATCAACATCATCATCAGATCTATAGCAGATTCATATTTTTATTTTAAAGGAAAGTAAAGTGGAAGACAATAAATAGATGAATGAAGATCATTTTGTTTTTTTGAATAATTCTTCGTGTTTGTTTGTTTGTTTGTTTGCTTGTTTAGAAACAAATATCTAAAACAAAACAAGCAAATAGAAGAAATTCAAAAGGTTTCCGGATTTACTGGTATCTGGATTATATTTAGTGAAAAATAATAATAATATACATTAATTAATTCATTTTTACAATCTTTCCTTAGTATAAAAAAAAAATTCATATTATTGTTGTTATAAAAGTTTAATAATAAAAATTTTAAAATTATATATAATACAAAAATAAAATTGTAAAGATTAGTTAATTAATCAAACCATATAATATGGGGCCTGGACAATAAAAAAGGTAGTGAGCGTTCCATATTCGGATATTCGAAAGTTTTGGGTATAATGTTCGATTTAGTACGTATAGAAAAACAATCAATACATAAGCAAATATAATTATCCATGATCATGCGACTTGTAGTTATTTTCATCTGAGCATCCTAAATTGTAGAATGACTCAACTATTTTTGATAGTAGCAGCAAGAGATACCATAAATAATAGATGCCACCCAATCAGATCTTTTAACTTGCATTTTTTTCTTGCAAGTAAAATTGCTTCATCTAATCCCAATGACACATTATTGTCATTGATTTTTCTTGTGTCAAACCTCATTTTTGAAATATTGCTTCAATGTCTCCTCCCGGGTCTTTTCATATACTGCCACAAATTTCCAACGAATGCTGGACTATTTTTCAATACATATTAACATAAAATACAAAATTAAAATGATGATAAGAAATATAGTAAATTTAAAAAAACTACCAACTAACATGTAATCTAATGAGGAACATCTTCTTGGTGCTATCGCAACCCATCACTATAGTAGATACAGCACAATTATGTAATTGTTTAATGTTGCGTCCATTAATAAATCGTCATCCAGCTCCATGACTCATATAACAATTAATCTTTTAAACAATAATATTTCAAACATATTTATAAAAAATATCACACACATAATGGGCGTGGACAACAGAAACGGATCATGTTGTGAAAAAGCAATTTTGAATTAACATGTAACAAGCAAAGGTTCATTGTATGTTAATGATTTACAATACAAACTACCAACATGGAATTTAAATTGCGACCTACCATCAATATATATTATAGTAATCATTAATTATTTTGTTACTTAATTGATTTCTATTACCAACATTATTAACATCAGCGTTATCATTTCTTTTTTCCTTGTATGTAACTCTGTCAATGCATATTACAATTTTTTCCTCTCAATCTTTCATTTTCCTAAAAATCTTAAAATCAGTCAGATGATCAAAAGTTGTATCTTTCAAAATTTGTAGTGATAATTACGTGCAACGTCACCAAGTCAAAGAATTTCGGTCGCGTTTTACTTCGTCGAAAATTATTTCGTCGACAATCATTTCGTCGACACCCATTTCGTCGACACCCATTTCGTCGACACCCATTTCGTCGAAAGTTTGTTTCATCGAAAGTTCATTTCGTCGAATGTTTGTTTCGTCAAAGATTATTTCATCCTCGAGCCAGAGACCGAACGAGTTAGATGTAAGGAGTGTGGGAAGTTAAGAAATTAAGTGAAGAAAGCGGGGTGTGTGGGAAGTGTGAAGAGAAATTTGTTTAATGAAGTTTTTTTTTGTGACGAAACAAATTTTCGACGAAATGAACTTTCGATGAAATGGGTGTCGACGAAATGACTGTCGACGAAAAGATTCTCGGCGAAATGAATCAGACCCATAGTAGTGATTCTATATTATCAAGAGAAGCTTTCGGGTTAAATTTCAAAATCAATTATATTTTTTTAAAGATATCTTTAAGACGTTATGGTCAATGTCTATATTAATCAAATAATTTACATCTGCATCACTATTCGATCCTTTAGTAGGTTTATTTATTTTTATCCACGGCTTATGTAGAGTTATTATTAAGTTTTTCTGGGGGCAAAATTTTTTTTTGGAAATTATACTTCCGAATTTAGGTATCACGGAAAAAGTCAAAATAGATAAATACTGTGAAAAATTGGCTACTATATTGAGGTTACTTATAAATTATAAAAAATGGATTAAAAGTTCATTGTAATGTGGTAGAAGTCACCCCCAAAAAGAATTACAGTAAAGAATTCATTATGTAGCAAAAATTAGGACTTGTTTTTAATTGAAAGTTATTATTAGATGCCAGTTCTATTTTGTTGTATATAAATTTTTTTAGGCACCATTTCATTTTAGGTTTGTGTTAAGCCAAAATATCTGGATTGTTATTTGATTTTTATAGGATGTAGAATTAATTAATTGCTTAATTGGAGAGAAAAATGGATGCCAAATCAAGAAAATGACCGTCTGCTTATAATAATTCCAAAACACAAGTAATCGTGTTTCCATTTTAGTAAAAGTAGAAGCAAGAGAAAAGAAACCTTGTTTGTGATGTTGGTGGTGGTGATGATGATAATTTAAAAATTGTCCAATGTTGTTGATTCTTCAAATATTCAAACAAAAAAGTGCAATTATACAATTGCAGTCAAATGGACTATAATTAAATTCTTGTCACAACGTATTTTGAATAAAATTTTTTATGTGCCCCGTTTATCCGCTGTGACAAGATTTTATTGGATTAAAAGGCCCGCTTTTAATTATTTCTTTTCATCAGTGTGTTGAGTGTTGATTTATAAAAATTCTTTAGGTTCAATAAGTCGATTAAGTATACCATTTTCAATTATTAAAAGATTCCGATATATAATCTTTTTTGAAAATTAATAAAAAGAAACATCAACACAAATATTTGTTGCTTTGAAGCTGCAGTAATAAATCGTTTTGGAAAATTGTAACAATTGTCAGTTTTTCTGGTGGTTAATGTTTTTAAGCCTTCAGAGAATGTCGTAGGTTTGTATTAGTATTTTACATTTGTAGAAATTAACAATCACGTGATTTACTAAGGAAGATTTTTATTTTAATATATATAATTTGTTACAAGAGTAGAACTAAGAAAGAGTCTTGAGTGAATACTTAAATATTCAAATATTCTCATTATCATAAAAAAAAAGAATTACATACGATAATTAATAAGCTTAATATTAAAGAAATCGTAACCTTGTACGACGAATATGTATTAGCGATTTTATTTTATTCATCGTAAATATTCGTAATTATTTTAAATATTGTTTTGTTTAGAATATTCATAACTATTTCAAATATTCATAATTTTGATACATTTAACAAATTACAGTATATCTGCTTAGTGTTTGGGCGAAACCTAACTCTTTAATTTTTCCAGAACCAAACTATCCGAAACCATATTAACTTTAATCCGTTAACAATCCGGGTGTTGAGTTTTATTGATTGAACAAGTACTCAAACACCCGGATAATCAACGGATACAATCTCTACCCAGATTTAATTTCGTACGATGTTCTTTCGTTTGAAAAAGACGTATTTTTTTTCACATATAGAAATTTTGTTATTTAAATACAAAATTCACAAATTCACGCATAATAGTTATTTAAGTTGAGCGCTTCCAAAATTTTTTAAAGTTTATTTTATAAGATGTGAACCAAAAGGAAATTTGAATTGGTTGGCTTAGCTTAACCATTGTTTTTTATTATGATAATGATAATTTTGTTTAGTGGATTATATGAAGTTTCTTATAAAATGATTATTAATGTTTCTATAAAATCCTAAATGGCTAACACTAATTTAATTAACGTGAAGTTCGTCGATATAAACATTGCAAAGTCAAAGATTAGTTTTTTAAAAAACTTATCTCTTTCTATATTTCTCTAAATATATTTCATTCTGAATTATATCTCTCCTCTAAATAAAATAATAAGAAGAATAATAAAATTACCATTGATATTGCATTGAGCTCAAACTCCAATGATGTTATTACTTGAAAATATTTGGTTGAAATATTATCAAAACTTATATATAGTAATTTAAGCAATATACCCGGAATCCACAAGTAAACTGTTATTATTAATAATTGTTTAATAAAAAAAACTAATGTAAAACTCAAATGGAGCTTACGTGGAAAATAAATTCCAAATATACTTGATAAAGTATTCCAACTTTGAAGGGTAACAAAAATAAATGGAATTTGTGGTTGGTATAAAAAAAAAATATGGACCAGGAACTTGATAATAATGAAAAACAATTAGTTGACAGAGTGATATATACACATACAGTAAATACTGTACATTCTAATGCTAATTAAAAGTGGAAATAGAAATGATGTAATCATATAATATTTGCACAATACTTCTATAGATCATATTAAAACATTTAATATGATATTCCTCCAAACTGATTGTATAATAATAAAAAACGCATCTAGTTCTTTACGCATATTGATACCATAAATTCATACAAGTACATGTGGCATATAAAGATACAAAATATACAAATACTTGATTGTAATCAAAATAACCATGAATAATGGTGAAATAGAATATAGGATCGCGTATACAAGACCTCCATTTGTAATATATGGATCATTTGATGTTTCATCAAAGAACTTACGCTGAGAGGTCCTGCCCCTATCTTGTATATATGTATGTATGTATGTATTTTAAAAAATCATTTAAAATTAAAATTTATTTCTAAATTACACAAATAGTCTATAATAAAAGAAATAAAAGAAACAAAAATAATTTTTTTACATATTTTTAGATAAAAATGTCAGTCCTTCAATCAGCCTCTTCAGCAATCACCCCTTTTTTCAGCTCTTTAGCTTCAGGAGATGATGGTTCTACCACAAATTCTACCTCAACATCATCCAACGAGGAGCAAAAACAACTTTTTGTTAATGAAGCATGTTTAGAGTTTTTGATTATGGAAATGGTGGATCTAATGTTTCGCACAACCACAGATTCTGAAAATGATAAAGAAGCCGTATTTTATAAATTAGAAATGTTAGGATATCAAGTTGGTCAAAGCTTAGTTGAAAGGTTAGCGTTAGCGAGTTGTTGTAGAGAGGAATGAATGAATATTAATAGACAAGTTAATTATATTAATAAATGAATTATTAAAAGATTTGCCAGAGATCGTCCACGCTTTGTTGATACTCTTGATGTTGTTAAATATATATGTAAAGATCTTTGGGGCATAATCTTTAAGAAACAAATTGACAATTTGAAAACTAATCATAGGGTAAAAAAATGTTTAAATTTTATCTTATTCCAAACATTCTTATCAATCATTTATGTTATTTTAGGGTGTATATGTACTTCAAGATAATAGTTTTAGATGGTTTTTTAGAATGTCAACAGAAGCCGGAAGTGCTGATGCAGCAAAAAGGGCAATTTCTGTAATAATCTCAATAATCTTTTGTTATTAATTATTTCCAATTTTTACAAATCTACTACATAATACCTTTTTTTAGTATCTTTGGTTCCCGTGCGGACTGATAAGAGGAGCATTGGCTAATTTAGGTGTCGTTAGTATTGTAATTGCTGAAACATCGACTTTACCACAATGTAATTAATTTATTAATAATTTATTGATTAATAACAATATAGTATTATAATAATAACAACATTATTTCTTTATTTTCATTTTTTATTTCAAGGCACATTTCAAATCAAAATTGCCAAATAATTTCCACAAAAAAATTATTTTAATTTGGCCATGTATAATATGAATAAATTTATTTAGAATAATTCTTCTCTAATAAACCAATGGTAATAAATTAAACATTTACATTTAAAAGTTTCTCTCGAGTGAATAATTTCTACCAGGATATCATTCCCGTTTGAATAATTGCAAATTTTCTAATAATTTATTTAAATGCATTCATAACAATATCTTATGATTTTATTGACCCAGCTTACTAATAATCAAAAAAACTAGATTATATATATTTCCATATATATTGTAAATTCATCTAATAACGGAGGATCTTCAGAGCACTTTTAGTTATATAATAAATATATGAAAAAAGCCATACAAAGTTAATAAACATTACCATCATCTTTTCTTTTACATTTCTTCATATTAAAATGTGGATCATATCGGCTCCATTTTGCATGTGCTCTACTTTAGTTTTAAACTTTTTAGCGATACACTTCATTTTAAGTGCTTGGCATTTACAAGTTTGCAATTAAAATACCTGGATGAATCCTTAGAGCCTAAATCATTATATATATAATAGTTTTTTTTTTACTGATGACAACAACAACAATATTGACAATAATAGTAAAACTTTTTACCTTCAAATGTTGGTGCAAATCGCGGATCATTGCTAACTAGATCTCTACTAGCCACATCTTTGTAGTATCTTTTCATTGCAAGTTACTTTTAAACCCATTTCAACGCTATACTCTTTACAAATCCCTGTACATAAACAATCCTAATAAAAAAAGAAAATATGAAGATTTTGTTGTTAAAAAAAAGCAATAAAATGATTAATAACCTTACTCATGTTAACCCTTTATGAATGAGTGGATGTTACCGGGGGCACATGGCCATGGAGTTCTCACTTTTGGTAACTCATAAATTCATCAATTCGACATTGTTAATTAATGATCTGCGGATGAAATTAAAGAAACATATTACCTTGTTACAAGGTATTTTTCCAAAAGATACAAAAGATATATTAATGAGATATTTATTTGCAGCCCGTCGATATGATTTTCTTTGAAAACACCAATCTCATCATCAATCAGGTTTGCTGCAAGCTTGAAATGCACGAAGCTTAATGTGGTGAGATTTTTGAGTTCAATTTTTTCGACATCAATTTTCTTGTTTGATTTTTTAACATTATTCAAAAAAACCTGGATCTCATAAACCAAAAATGCAACTCTAAACTTGTAATAAAACAAATATCAAAATAACAAAATATCAATGCGATCATTCCTATCATATTGGTTGCCTAAATATGACGGGAACTTTGCATATATTGTAAAAATTATTATTCAAGTAAATTAAACACTTCATACAATAAAAATTTAAGATAATGATGATGATGATGAAAATTTGAAGAAGCTATTAATGATAATGATTATAACTGTTTTAAAATCATCAAGGGTTAATTCGTCAAATTTAAATGAAGCAATAAATTTATACAATATTAATATTATTTATTTAATTTATTTATTAAAATCAAATAATTCATTTTGGACCATAGAATCCAAATCGCTGATGCAAATTCTAGCTTGATATTTTGTTAATTCGTCATTATCTGTTTCTTCTATATATTTCAAGCGAAGATAAGTTTTCTGAAGTAAGTCAGAGGGTATCAAATATAAAGATTGTGAATGAGATGCTAATCCTCTGAATAATGAACTTAAAAGTACAACACATGCTACAAAATAATAAAATTAAAATTATATAGTAATTGAAAAAACCAAATGGAATAATTAATTTTATTATATTACCTCTTCTAACTTCTATTTCCTTTTGAGTATCTATAATATTTAATGAACAATTGACAATATCTCTAAACCACATCGATAAAGCTAACGGTGATGTTTCACAAGCACATCCAATAATACTTAATGCAGATACATGTAAATAAATATCATCATTTTTATTCAAAACATTTAATAATGGTGGTAAAAGTGTTGTTACTTTTAATAATAATAAAAACTTCAATCACTACCATCAAAAGATTAAGATAATCAATATTGTATTGAATCAGACAGTAGTAGTGCAACTTACTATATTTTCCAAGCACATCACCAGATCTTTGTATGGTTTGTAAGATTGCTTCACCGACTCGTAAACGGTTGTCTGTATTTTCTTTTGCATTTGAATATATTATCATCAACTTTTTCATTACTTTTTCACCATGTAAATCTGTTAATGACGATAAACCTTTAACAGCATTCAAATATATGTAACTGATAAAATTTGAACATTAATTTTTAAGTATTATTTATTAGATAATAAAAATTAAAAATTTTTTATTAAAACAAACCTTTCTTCATCTTGAACCATTTGTACAAAAATGTCTAGAACTTTGTTTAAATACTGCTGATCATACATTAAAGGATCCTTGTTAAGGACCATTTCCCTAAGCATCGCAATACCGTGAGCTTTAATTGGTAATACATCATCTTGTAATAAAACCATTGCTTCTTGAAAATTTTTTAAAGATTCTTGTTGTTTAAAAGACTCAGCTGAACTGTTTGAAGATTCTTGAGTAGCGTTTTTAATAGATATATTTAATATAAGATTATTTGCCAATGAACGTATAGATGGTGAAGGATGATTCTGAAAAGATACAAGATTATCTTTGACAATATTTAATATATAATTATCTTTCGTCGGAAGGATCTTGCATTCTAAGATCAAATAAGTTTTGTTAAACCAATAATATTTAAAATTAATTAACTAAACATTTAATCTTACCAGCTAACAAAGAAGTTAAAAGAGCTAACGCCAATGATAATAATTCGTCATTTTCTTGTCCATCACTATCTGATTCCATAATATCATCATTTTGATCCGCAACAATATTATTTAATTCATCTAATAAACTAGTTTTGGCTTCATTTTTCTTTGATTTTTCTTTGTTGAGCTCTTTTTGATCATAATTTTCTAATACATTATTAACAAATGCAATTATATGTCCAGGTTTTTGTAAAAATTTAGAACCTAAACTCTCAATAATTGCTAAAACTAAATGAAGTAATGTTAACAAACTATAAAATATTAACCAGTGAATTAGTATTATAATTCAACTCTAGATAAATGATTGATTAAATTGAGCTTACTGTTTAGAACGTGTAGAATCTATCAAATGTCTTTGAACTTTTAAAGAAGTATATTCATTAAGAAGATACACAAAAAAATCACTAGTTAAATCATTATTATTGATAGATTTAATCAAATTAACAAATAAATCAACAGATATTGTTGATAATGTAGGTGATAAATCAATCGAAGTGCTTTATATATATAAAAGAAGATAATTTAACTTTTGCTTAAAAAACCATTTATAAAGAAGTAAATCTTATTTTATATCCCTTACATTCTTAATCTCATCATTATACCACCAGAAGGTCCAGGAGAAAAATAAACTTCGCCAGTTTTGCCAACATCAGGAGCTTGAAAATTTTTATTTTTTTTAAATATAATCTCTTTAAAAGCTTCAATGCCCTCAATTACAGTAACTATCTTAAAATAAGATAATAGAATTTCAAACACATATTCTTTTAAGTATGATTTTGAAGAACAGCTAAATTCATATAGATAATACAATGGTGCAATTGAATCTTCTAAAAACATTTGTAATAAATCAGGTATGGGTTCACTTCCGACCAGTATATGGTGTATCATTGTTATTGTGGATTGTAATGAGGCCTCATCCACTATTGGTGGGCCCAAATCCTTAGTGATAAATACACTTGAATTCATTTGCTGCTCAAAAATCTGTTTATGTTCTTCTGAGCTGATTCCCCACCATTTCCATAATGAACTAAATATATTAGATATAATAAATCTCTTGGCCATTGCTGGATATTTATTGGCTAGCCTTGTAATAGTAAATGCAGCAGCAGTTGACCTTGAAGAAGTTATTTGTGATGATAATGTTGTAGAAGAAATAGGTTGAATTAATTGTAACAACTGTGGACATATTATTGAAAAATACTCCTTTAATGTAAAATAAAAAAAAAATATAAATGTGCGTGCATGCAAGTATTTATATTTAATTTTTGAATTTAAGAAGAACAATTATAAAATTTACCTCAACAGATTTTATTTGACTTGGAATAGAAAGTATAAGTTTGGAAATTGTATCCAATTTAGATAAACTAACTAGATAAGATATTAAATATTGTTTTAATTTTTATTTAAGCCATCAAACAATAATTAATTACCTTCTTCACCATCAATCATGAAATCTATGACTTCTGGTACACCATTTGGCCTTAGCAAAATTTGCGTCAAAAATTTACCACAAACATTTATTAACCATTTTGGTGATGGGTTAATATGAGATCCCAAGAGAATAGTTAATGAATTCAAAGATTGAAGTGAACTTGTTCTATAAATTAATAGTTTCAAATTAAAAAGTTAAAATCGCTAACCAAGAAAATGGTTATTGACTTACCTTTGGAAAATTTCATTAAACATCCTTATACTTTCTTTACGCATTTTCTCCAGCTCTGATTGATCAATCTCATAAATGATATTTCCTGAAATTTCATTATGATTCTCCTGAGGCTCGTCATTACTTGATGAAATAGAATTTTCAGATTTTAATTGTAATGGTCCATAGGATAGTTGTAATAAAATAGCATAAATATCTGTAAGGTATTTTGAATATAAAATTGTTGATATAGATGTGTAGATTGAAGGTGTTGATGAACTATTAAAAAGAATATCAAATAATGATTTGGATAACTTGAATAGTTTAAAGTATTTTCCAGCTGTTGTTGTATTTGCATTGAATGATTTATCTTCTTTTTTCAAATCATTCAAAAATTCTTATTAAAAGAATTTTTTGTTAGTTAATAAAGTAATGATAAAAAAAACGGTAGTGAAAAAATTATTAATCTTATTACCATTTTGAATGTATGCCGATCTTGTTCTACGCGAAAGAGATATTCCGACACCTTCCATAAGACAAGGATATACTCCCCAAGTAATCACAATCTCAATCATGGTATGAATAAGCCCTAAATCCCTTATTCCCAATAATTCAGGTCCGTGATGAATTTTATTTTCAATATTTCTTTGATCTATATTAGTGCATGTATATAATACATATATTGATTTATTCATTAGAAGATTTGAAAATATTTAAAAATTTTCACTATACCTTCAATTTTGTTTAATTCATTTAAGGTATGCTGCAAAGCATTTAATATTTCCATGCATTTCATAACAAATCGTTCCCTTATATTTGCATTATTTATAGATTCATTGGATTTGTTTCCTACTAAAGTGTAGGCTTGATCTAACAAAGTAGATAAAAGCTCTTTTGACATTAAAATTTTTTTTTTGCCAGGTGAGTGAGGCCTGACCAAGCATTTTATGTTGATCATGCCATTCTTGGAATGGGTCGATCATCACTTTCGATTAGAGGTTGGCACCGCGCAAAAATTCTTTAACCGGTTAATTTAGTCATGTGGAATTTTTTAACTGGTAAATTCGATCGTTCATTACTTACAAAATAATCACGCGCCTGTTGAATTTTATTATTTTACACTTAATAGATGCTAAATGATTACAGTCAAACCTCGTCACAGTGGATTCATGGCTCTAGCCAAAAAAATTATTATTATTATTATGACAAGAGGCAAAATTGGCAATGATCGGGCAAATTTTTTTTAATAATACAAAGCTCTCTCTCTATACCGAACCCTCTGTCCATTATATGCATTTTTCTGCTTTTGTTCATTATAGGG